ATGATGGGCAAGCCTGGGGCGGCGGGGTCAGAGCGTGACCCCGCCGCTATCCGCGGCCCTGATGAGTGAGTCGACACGAGCTCTTTAAACGGCAACGTACAAAGATCCTCGCGTCACCTCTGACGTTGTGGCGTAGCCTTTGACCGCTCTCGCAGCTTGAACCGACAACATAAATCTCCCTCGCTGTGGCCAGCCCAGCAGCATCATTGCCACCAACATGTTCTCTGTCTGCAGAGGTGGGACGTAACCAAGTCCAAATACTCGATTACTCTATTTTACCTTTTCTCTATTTGCGTCTCTTTTTTTTAGGTTGCGTCGTCATTTGTGAACAAAGCAACCAAATACAAATACTTATACTTCTTAATTATGTATCGAATTTGAATTAGTACTTCTACTTTTTTTTAACACATACACTTCTACTGTAGTATAGAATGTGAGTACTTTTTGCCACCTCTGACTGTGTGCTGCATTTTGTCAATGCTCAACATCTGATAAACGACATTGACATAGTTTCTTAATTTAAACCAGAATCCCTCCCGGCAGTGTTTATTTGTACACTTCATTTTATGTCACTCCAATACGTTTTAGTGATGTGACATGGGATACTATAAATTTTTCCTTCAAATCTTTGGCACTTTGGTATCTGCAGAATGCTATGAAATCATTTCGCAGTCTCCCACACTAAGTCATGCTCATGACCGTAAGAAGGACAAGTGCTACAGAGCATAGAAGTACGTGTTGCTGAAGCGTGTTTTAATCTAGTCATTTTTTTAGAAGGTTTGTAGTAAGATTTGTCCCGAATTGATCATGAAATGAGAAATTGGCGCTGATCACGTCATTTTCAATAAGATAAGATCAGATAAGATCATTTAATATATAATTATTTTTTTAGTGTAACAGTAAGATTGCTCTTTCTTTCTTTCCTTCATCACAAATCGCAGAGGTACTTGATCAGGAGTTAGTATCGATCGATACTCAAAATGAAATGACATCGTGATATGTAATTACTCGAACATCGATGCTGACCTGTCTATTTTTGCAGTGGGTGTTCAACGTGTCCCCTGCGATAAACGGGGGTTCACTCTTAAGCCCCCCAAATTTCCGATGTTGCTTTCGACAAGCCCCGCACAGGCCCCCCTAATCAACAACAGCTGCCACGGCACTGACGTTAATCTTTCTCTGAAATCAACAAGCACACAAATTCCTCTCATACTAAAGCTGCTACCTGCCGTCCAGTCACTTTTGTAATGTAACGGAGTACAAATACTTTGTTACTGTACTTAAGTAATCAAATATATACTTTTACTCCGATTTCCCATCAACACATTTCTTACGCCTCGGGACAAAATGAAATCAGAAGAAATTGTTGTTTGAAGTAATGCTGGAGAACTGGCAAGATGAAATCACCTTCTGCCTACTCTGCTACTCACAAACGCAGCAGATGACGAACAAAATGACATCACTGGTGAATATGAGAACAGGGATATCGTGACATTGTATACAGTGCCTCTTATGACTTAAGTGAGAGAAATATTAGCATTCAAAAGCTCCATGTCCACCCGACAGAAGCAAAACGAGGCGGTTGAATTCATTTTTGAACACAAAACGTAAATGTTCTTTGAGTTATCATGGGCTTGGTTTTAACGCATATGGTTAACATGATGGCTAGGCTAACATGCACTAGCTAACTTTACTCATTAGCCAACATAGAGATCTTTAACTACTGGAGACCACTGAAGTAAATGAAATATAAATAGACCAACAAATTAATTACAAAATATATGTCTTTTACAACACAGTTATTTTTCTTTTCCAGTTCAGTGTAGTAGTAGGAGATTACCCTCAACTTCCAACGTGTAGCTCAGGTTCCGGTACAGGCGATGGGCTTGGTTTCCGAGGCTTATGGTGAAGACCCCGTCGTGTTTCTGCTGCACATCAGAGATGATCAAGTTGTAACCGGAAATCTTGTAGCAGGTAGAATTCTTCAGGATGGGGACTCCGTCTTTGTACCTGGGGGTCAAACAAATCAGTCAATTCTAGGAAAACAAGCGAGGTGGCATTCGACTTTTATGTGTAGAAACCACAACTTGCCATGTCAACGTATCTGGTAGTGGCAGTGCATTGACCTTGGGGTCGAACACCAGCCTCTTTCTGCCCTCCCTGACAACCACTGTAGCCAGATGCCTGTGTGAGATGTTGAGGAAAGGGTGCTCTGAAACAAAACATATTAGAAGTTGGCAACATATCGAATACAGTAAAGCCCCAGCATATTGCGGTTCATCACTGTAGCCCCTAATAACGCATCTCAATTGAAAATGTAATTTTACAGTCAACGGGCAAGTTCGAATTTAGAGTTGAGGGGCTTCAGTGTCGTACCACGTCTACTGGAAGACCTATCATGAACAAGCAGAGGTTTCCTACTTAGCTGCAGTAAAATTCGTTCCCACAGTTGAAATCAGTGGCGTGCGGTGAGGTGCATGGTTGGTGAGGCACTGACTCCTTTGGTGTCAGATTTACAAATATACAAAGCAAAAAAGGGTAGCTTATTCAATTGGCTAAACATTATATTTGTGACATGCAGCTCTGCGGCAAGCAGCACGAGCCAGTTGCACGTATCGACCCAGTTTGTGATGATTGCGCAATGCAATGCGCATTCAGAGGTGAGGCTGTGCCTCACCTGCCTCCCCTGACCGCACGCCTCTGGTTGAAATAAGAAACACATAGCATAAATAGTCGTATACCGTGCTTGCATGTATTGCTGCTGCACTTGTGCTAATTTAGCAGTTATTTGAGGCTTTCTTTTTACCGTAGGCTAATTTCTAAATGCTCAATTATGTTTTGGTGGTATTTTTTTTTTTATTTTTTTTTTTATTTTGTTAGCATTAAGCTACCAGACATGTTAGCATTAAGCTAGCGGACAGCATTGCGGTATATTTTTTGAATAAACGAGTAATTCTGTTCTGTTTCGTGTGTCAGTTTTACTGTAAAGTTTGACTGGGGGTGACAAACATGCAACTTGAAGCAAGCACACTTCTTATTCTGGTGATTTTAGGCAACAAGTCTACCATTTCACTTTTTTAAGTGTTTGAAGAGTGTTTGGCGGAACACTCTCTGAAAACATGTCCAGCCGGGGGTGTCAAATTCATTTTTGTCGCGGGCCACATTATAATTACCGTTTCCCTTGGAGGGCCATGATGACTGAAACGATATAAAGTAGTCAAGAATAACGTTTTATTCAACTATTGCTTAAGTAACTGTAATGAGGGGTTTGGTAACAAGAAAGTGCTTACAATATGTCACTGATTTATTGCATGTGAACATTTGAAATTTCGGTACACATTTTAGCAAGTATCATTGAAGTTGTAATCTTTGCTTTCGCTTAAAATGATGTGGCGGGCCACATCTGGACCCCGGGGCCTTGAGTTTGACATGTGTGATGTACATGGTCTCTCTTGATCACGAATTCCCACCGGATTTGAACATATTCTCGGAGATAAAGGTGGATTCATTGTACAATTAAAAGTTCAAGTCAAATATTGGCACATGCTCACCGTAGACAATGACCTTCGCTGTGGCATTCTTATGTTTGGTGGGTGTAATCTCAGCTTTGCATCGATACAAGCCCTTGTCCTCCATTGAAATGTTGGGCAAGACTAATGCCTTGCTCATTGTAAATGCAAGAGCGGGGGTGTCTTGGGTCTTGTTTATGAAATGGCGGTTTTCCTGAATGCAAGGAAAAAAAAATCCCATGAGCACATTAAAACCATCTAAGCTGCTGTTTGGCTGTGTCTCATTTACATTCTTTTTCGGAAAATCCCACGTAAACTTGATTCTTTGATCGTAGGTGGTCACTCCGGTGCAGTTGAGGAAGAGTGTGTCGCCAACCAACACCCTGACCCGCTCCGGGGTGATTGTCACATTCTCAAGAAAAAGTGCTGTCAATGGGGAGGGAGGGAGGGAGGGAGAGGGAGGGGGAGAGAGAGAGAGAGACAGAGAGAGAGAGAGACTCAGACACCTCCTTCAGACCAGTCTTTCCTAGTTAATTTGTCTGAAAAAGACAAAACACTCACACAGTCTCTTGGGGATGTACATGGAGCGAAACTCCTGACCATTGACGACGGCAGAGCAGATTAACATGTCGTACACAGTCTCGGGGGTGTAGGGAATTCTGAAGCCCACTTTTGGGTCCCATTCATTGTCAATCTTCTCTGAGGAGGGTGACAGCTGTAAATCAAGGTGATATGACATTTCACATGGGATGTTAGCATTAAGCTGGCTGACGTTTGTTTGACAAACACTATGTATGATGAAATGAAAGACGGTTTGGTTGAACATTTTGGTGGTTGCATTGACAGTGGTTCATTCCTTTTCGTTCTGTTTGCATGCTTTGCTGCTCCGCGTGTGTTGAAGTCGCAGTTGTTAGAATTACCCTCACCAAACCGCACGTTTTTTTATTCGCCCATCTGTGACGTTTCAAGTTACATGCTAGCATTAAGATTGGTGCGGTTAAAAAAAACATACGGCATGCTTTTTTTAACATTTTGGTGTTTAAATACTGAATGTTTTATGTGCTGAAATCAGTCAACGTCAACTGGGAGCGACAGTTTCAGTGTGTTTTAACAAATTTAAATGTGTTCTAAGCATGTAGAGGAGGTAAAACTATTTAAATGTTTTTACAGAGTCCCTCTATATCGCAGATTTTCACCCGTAATTGCTTATTTGATCAACAAGGGTTCACTGTATGATTTTTATGGTGGAAAAAAAAAACTCTGTACTGTAAGTGCTCGCTCTTGCTTGTTGTGATTCCAGAAATCAGGCTGGACGAAAAGGCAAGGGAAGGAAGGAAAGGGAGCAGGAAGGAGGAGCACTATTGATTTACCAATGGCAGGAAGGTCACACAACCATTATCTGTTCCATCTCAAGACAGCTTGTTTGTCCACAAGTGGGCACAAAGTCACGCAGTGGTAAATCAGTGCCACAAATAGCGCCGTGATTGGCAGCTTTAAGCTGAGTGGTACCGAGCACCAACAAGCTCAGAGGTTTCACTCTTCCTGTGGCATCCAAGGAAAACGGTATCAAATGTTAAGAGTCCATCGGGTAGGTTACCTTGTTGTTTCCTGTGACTGGACATAGTGCGTACAGGTTTTGTCTTGCATTTCCTGAAAGGGCCAAATTTAGCGGGAGATTCTATTCTGAGCAAAAACACTCTTGGACCACCTTCCTGTTCATACAGGAAGCAGACAGACTGACTCCCTTAGTTTCCCCCTGATGCTTGTTTCTGTGTTTCTTTAAGACTGGTTTTGTGGGAACCACAACGTGACAAAAGTAAAAATGCTCCGCAGATTTGTGCAATGAACCCTCGCTGTACTGCGGTTTATCGTTCGCGCTCCCACTTTTTCCCAGATCCAGAAGTTGTTTGGGTTTTTTGGGGGGTGTTATTACTGAACACACGCAATTCCAAATTTAGAGTTGTGTGCCTTCAGTGTAGCACCGCGTTGTACCACACATTGTGTAAGATCAATTGGAAGACTTGCAGCGTAATTGAGAGCAGAAAGAAAAGGCAGAGAAGGTCCCCTACAAAGTTGCAGTTGTTATCGTTGTTCCTACCGATCGTGATCGTGAAAGATGTTTTTGAAGTGAGCAATGGCTTTTTTTTTTCCCGATTCCGAATATGTGAATTCACAAAGTAATAAAATCATGCATCTTTGATAGATCCACAAAGATTGATTCAAGGCAAGTGGACTGTTCTCCTTTGTTGAAGATGTTTCACCTTTCATCCAAAACGCTTCTTCAGTTTTAAATTTAGGTGTGGAGTCCCTCTATTTATGCCTCGTGTGTGTAGTCCATTCGAGTGTTCGCCAACAGTGTGATGGTTGCTGTTTTTCACTGGGGTTATGAAAGAACCTTCATATATCAATCGGTCATTGATAAAAACGACTCCTTAGGGCCGATTTTTCCTTTGAATGAGGCGAATGAATTTGTCTTCAAAAAAACAAGAACAGCCCAGTTTGCCTTGATTCAACCTTTGCAGATTACCTACATGTCTGATAATCTGTGGGAATATGAGCCTGTGTGTGTGTGTGTGTGTGTGTGTGTGTGTGTGTGTGGGTGGGGGTGTGGGTGTGGGTGTGGCCTTACCTCGTTTAGTGTCACAACAGTACTGGGAGAAGATGTACGGCAAGGAATCACAAGGCTGGACTGATCCCTGAGGATGAACAGGGCGTAAGGTGTCTGATCATAGGGCTCCACAAATGGCTGCTCTGGATCTGAAGGGGAGAAAAAGGATGCAAACTTCTAGATTTGAAAGGCAGACGTGACGAAAAAAAACGCTTTGCTTTCTGGATGTTTTTAAACAGGGGTTTATTGTATGATGTAACAAACAGCTGAACGACTGTGAAAAGGCCGTCAGACTAAACAAAGGCACAGGAGGCTGCGTGACTTTGTCATCAGGAAACACATTCAAAAGGTTAATTTGTTTAGTCTGCCTGGTCCAATATCACAAAATTGTGTTGCTTGCTTATTTGTCCACCGGGCTTTTCAAGCAAATCCAAGGAAAACTATCTGATTCCGAACTAAAATTGTACTCCTTGTCCAGCCTGGCACAATGTCCTTTGGAACAATGCTTAAACGCTAACTTGTTCCATGTGTTGTTTTCGAAGGGATACTTTGCGAAACAGTAGCTCGAGCAGGAAACCACAATCAGCGTCTAGAGCTTCCCATGCAATCACGTCAAGAATTTTGTTGTAAAATAACGGTCAATTCCGTGTCTGCCTTGCGACCAGTTTCAGGGTGTGAACCTACACTGTTCATACGAAATTTTCAAGTTACAAAATGTCTCAACAGGAAAATATTGCTTCTTGTTCAAAAGAAATTTTAAGATACGAAAGGTAAAAATACAGGATGGGTTGCTACTCGCAGTTCCGAGTTTCCTGAATGCAACATACTTATAGCTGCTCTGCCATTGGCTATTACTGAGCATCTTACTGGCACCCCATTGGCTAAGAGGGACCTCTAACGGTATGAGTCTCTGTGTGTGGATAGATAGACAGATATATATGTGTCTATGCAGCGTAATCGTCATTCGCCCCTCCGGCCATGAGGTGTTCTGATAGTTTTACGTTTATGTGAATCACCCAGAGAAAGTGTTCACCATTCGGGCGATCGCTCACTATGCTGATGTTTGCCATGGACATTTTCGAAGGATTGTTAAAAGCCGACAAAAGCAAACGCATTTGGATCAGTTCTTGACAAAACGGCTGGCAAAATCCACTTCTGAAAGAGAAAATGAACTAAAGAGGGCAAAAAAACAATGAGGACGCAGTTAAAAGTTAAATGACCAGCATTTTTAATCTTTACTCGATTCTTTGTTTTTTTTACATTGTGCACAACTCTCATTTATTGTGCAATAATCTAATTGTAACCTGTATTTGTTTACATATTTTGATGCTTTCGGAAACATTTATGTCCAGATTTTGGGGGGACATGAACGAATTAGGGCATTTACATGGGAAACGCGTCTCTACTTACAACATTTTCTAGTTAAGAAATTTCTTCCAGAACCAATTAATTTCGTAAGTAGAGGTACCACTGTATTTTGAATAGATAGTATATTACCATCGTGCACAGTGGGTGCTATGGTAATTTTACACCGCATCGTTTTATTGTAACAGTGCGCTACTGTATTTGTATTTCTATCATGGCTCAGCTTCAGAAAACAGGTGAGCAAGGATTGGTCGTTACCTGAACCCTGAGCAACTGTGATGTCATTTGCAGTGGACAGAAAGTGGCAAAATGGCTGCCCCATGACATGCTAAAAACCGGTGGATTTAACTCGCATTCCAAACACAATATTTATCAGAATACTGTGTTATACTGTGAAATTAGTGTGTTATTCTTAACCAAGTGTTAACTGTTCATAGCACATGTGCTTGAATGTTATGAAATATGCTTGGGCAAAATGGTAATTCATAGGATTTCATGGGGCATATCACAGTTGTTTTCTTTGCTATAAGGTTGGGAAACACACACACACACACACACACACACACACACACACACGCGCACACACACACACACACACACACACACACACACACACGCGCGCTTTACATTTTGTCTGTCAAGAAGCACCATTCAACACCATGAGGCTCTAGACTGGCGTCAGCAGATCCCGATCGCCCTGTGAGAACCTCACACTGCTCTTTCATCGGGGCTCTTACATGACTTTGACAAAAACAAACGGGCAAACCTCCCAACAAAGAAAACAATTCAAGAAACGATTCTTATCCCTGCAACGGTTCGGACTTGACTTTCTCATGGTGGAAAATTACCACTGTTTATTTGACTTGTGGGAATAATGCCAGTATTGAATTTTATTTTTTTTAAAGGCTTTCAAGTGCTGTCAATCACATTTTCTGATTATTAACATCTCACCTGTGACGTAGACGTATGTGGATGCAACGTGGTCGGACCCCCCTCTGGAGTAACCGCAACTGTACTCCCCAGTGTGACTGGCATTCAAGTGTGTGATTGTCAGTTTGCTGCAGTGCGCCGCATGTCTGGAATCACACCGCTGCACTTTCATGCCCTCCCAAGAAATGACATGTCGGGATCCCACCGGCTTTGGAAGTGTCCAGTGCAGCTGGCCGTGCCCCCTGGTAGAGGACAGAAGCAATTTTATACGTTTAAATACGCGTCTACCAAAGTACGGTAGTCAAGTATTTGTATCCGGTCACCTCTTAAAACCGAATGTAAGAGCAACTCGTCGAAAGAAAGACACACGTTGGAATCCTTAACACGTTACAGACGGTGATCTATTTTAAGGAGCAGTGCCACAGCTGGCAATGAACTTTCATGCCTTTTAGTTCAGGATGGCAGCATCAGCATCTGCTCTCGGGGGAATTGCGGCCCCTGCGACAGCTTTTGCTTGATTTCGAGTCATCTGATAAGGTGAACTTTCACGTGGGAATGCGTTTCTTTCAAACAGCGTGCTCGAGCTCACACATTCCTTCCACACAAGTACCCACTTTTAACATTCTCATTAAAGGCATCCCAGAGGAACATCAAACATGTCTGGCATACCACGGCCACTGCCTACAGAATTTTGGGTCAAACAACCTCTCGCCTCTCTCATCCAGTGACAGAAGACCAGAAAATATAGGACAGCTGTCCAAGCATACGGCCTTATAGGGAAGCGTTGCATTACAGAGATACTGTACATGCTCTTGGACATTCCTTGCGGCCCTGCGAAATGATGAAGGCTCAGAGATACGAGCGGTCCCAGGAACCCTCAAGACCGATAAATGTTGGACCGCCATCAAATGTTCCAGTGTCATTGAAGCTATTTGCCCTACGGCCTTGTCTCAGTCATTTCCCCGGGGGCTTTTTTTTTTTTTTGCCATAGAACAAGTCTAAAAAAGGATATTTTCAACACCGTCTGGTCACTGAGCACAAGACTATTACATTTTGCTTCATTTTCAATGTACTTGGGATTTTTGGGGCACTTACCTGCATGTGAGATGAAGAGGGTCCCCTTGGTGAATAACGATTGGATTCTCGGAAGGCCAGATTTTAGGCAAGCGCTTGTCCGCCAAATATCCTGAAGCACACATGCAGAAACACCATCATTTGCTTTGTTGTTTACTTAGATTGAAAAACTCTCGCTATCCCTCCATCCACACAAAAGGCCTATTTCGAAGAAAAGTTCACAAATTTGTCTAAATCTGAGTGAGTGAGCACTTCTCCTAAAATAATCCAGCAACCTCATGGTAAAATTCCTTTGGTGTCATCGTAGTCATCATGAGAATGTCACGAAATAATGAAACTCTGAGAGCTTATTATAAGATAAGATAAGATAAGATAACCTTTATTTGTCCCACACTGGGGAAATTTGCAGTCTACAGCAGCAAAATTGGGGGGGGGGGGACCCAAAGTGTTTCATTGCACGAAATAAATGTTTCAGAAAAGAACTGTACACCGTTCAATATAAGTGCAATATAAAATATAGCATTAGCAATATACGGAATTTGTAGAATAAATATAATAAATTAGCAATAGCTTCGAAAACACAGCATAAGTGGCCAAACACTTGCATACATGCCAGTACAATGAGTATTTTAAAGTGTTTCCTTCATTTTGTATAATTTTGGCAACTCCCAAACAGACACCTGTAGAAATGGTTAAATGATGCGAAATCAAAAAAGTTTTTGCACGGTTATACTGTCCACAATGTCATTTGATCAAATGAGTCCTCTTGCATATTCTTTTTATTTTTCATCATATTGAATGTTGTCTTTCCTGAAATTGCCTGTCCATTCTGTCGTGGTGGGGTAACTGCCTCCATTAACACTTTCAGGGACAGCGGTGACTACAGTGGGCAACTCATAATGTTATCGGGTCACAGGGTGCATTAACAAAGCCTCGCATGTTTTCAGTCAGCATGTCTTTCTTCAAAGACGCTGGAACTGTGGAAGGTCCACTGTGTGCTTATCGAATGCTAATATGAGCCAGAAATGTCCACCCTGTCAACACGCTCAAAAATTCCGTCTGTTTGCATGTCCCTTTGTCTACACCGCACGCTATACAAACAGTAAGAACACACTTTTTTCCCAGATTTTTTCCCCCCCTCCCTCACCATGCGTGAGGTCTGTTACATTTTTAAAAAATCGCTGCGTGTCTACTCCGGTTTGGGAAACACCATGATCCTCCTTAAGGTCCAGAGGGTGTCATAGACCTCCACATCAGAGTGCCTTGTTTTTGCAGAGCCTTCCACTTGACAAAACAACTTTGTTGAGTCGACCAACAACATGCGAGAGAGGTTCGTCGTAGCCTTGAATCAAGAATGAAAATAATTACACAATAGGACTGACGCGCTCTGACCTATGAGTAAGCTGATAGATGCACATGCACATTTACACCTGCAGCTACAACAGCGGACGCACATTTGCCTTGACTTGGACTGCTATTCAGAACAGCTGTCATGCAGGCGGAAAAAAAAAACAGCTGACTGTGCCAACGCTGGTAGTACAACGCAGCGGTGGTTTCCCTTCAAAATACTTGAACATCATTGTTTTATTGTCCAAGGGCGCGCAGAGGAAAAGAGTTGCTTGTGCGCTAAGAACTGGTGCTTTCATCTGCGGAATGGAAGATGCAAATCAAGGTTTCTGTCCTTCGCAAACAATGAGAGAATATACTTTTCACTAGTTCATAAAAAAATCTGCTGCTGACTGCTAACTTGCGAGAAATACAAAGGCGTTGCCTCACATCTGCATATTCAAGAATGGCCGGAAATGACAACTTGGTAAGAGCAAACAATAATTGGGTGCTGGGAGCACAAAAAAAAAAAAACACATCTGGCTCTCGCTCCGAGTATAGAATGCGAGTCATGTAAAGAGTGAGACATCTGCTCGCATACGTAACCTCACCAAAAAAAGTAACTTGACCTTGAATTGCACTCGCTCATTTCATAAAACGGGCCAATTGCCAAACAGTCTTCCAAAGTAACTGGCTACAGATGGACGAATCGGCGGGGGCCCTTGGGAGCGCGCTAAACCAAAGAACGAAAACCCCCCGCCGTTGCT